GAAGGGGATAATGAGGGCCCGGGAGCCGTGTTTCCCCCTCCCAGCCAACACACACACACACACACACACAGTGCAGTTCGTGGTTGACTCAGTGCGGGGTGGGCCGAAGCCGCAGCGAGGACAGGGCCTAGCGACAAGATAGGAACAGAGCAAAATAACAAAAAAAAATAGCTGCACCGCAACGTGGAACTCCAGCCAAGGAAACAAATAAGCACAAGTTACTTCAACGATGCATGATGCATGCGTAAATGTGCGCGGCAAGGAGCGCGGTGGGTGCGCCTCACCGATGGCGCAAAAACAAAAACACAAACACTGCCAGTACGGCAGCAGCAGTGGTAAGTTATTGTCCCGCGGTAAGTTATTGTCCCGCGGCTCAAAACAAAACAAAACAAAACAAAAACTGCACATCCATGGACAACAACGATCCACAAACAAAACCAACGAATTGTGCTGTGCGCCCAAGAGGGACCACACAACCAGGGGGAGGGAGAGATAATATTTAACGAAAAACTTTATCCGTGCAATACGGATCATTACATCGCACCATTCCATTCCTTTTTTCCTTATTATTTCCGTTTTCCTACCACGCACTTAATTCACCTTCGGTAGGCATTTAGACCCCAGGCTTTAGTTCCCTCTTCTGTCCTTCCCTTGCGTACCAGAGTGGGAAGACATTGTCTCGTATGTGCATGCCCCCAGTCTCTTTGCCTCGATAACCGTCTCCCTCCTCGGCTACCGCATACATTAATACCGTTTATTTATTTTCTTCCTTCGATGTCCCGTCCCCACGGCTCTCCGCGTTGGCCGCCTCAGAGTCTCACGGGTCACGACGCCTTCTCGAGTTCCGCTGGGTACACCGGATTCCACATTGATTTCTTCACGTAGGCGAGAAGCTCGTCGTGGCTGTGCGGCAGGTTGTGGTTGGCGGCGATCTTCAGGCGCTGCGCCTCCAGCACCACGGCGGTGGCAATTTGGGCTGAGATGTTGTGGATGTCGTTCAGCGGCGGGTACAACCGGCCTTCCCGCAGATTCTCCTCCGTCGTGAGGAGGTTGAGCGTTTTAGACGACGCGAGCAGGAGCTCGTCGGGGATGTGCGTCGGCTGAGCCAGCGCGCAGCCAAGGCCGATGCCGGGGAAGACGTACAAGTTGTTTCCCTGCGACGGGATCAACGTCTTGTTTCCAATCACCGTCGACGGGAAAGGGCTGCCGGACGCCACGATCGCCGCGCCGTCCGTCCACTTGTAGGCGTCTTCCGGCGTCACCTCCGCCTTGCGGGTCGGGTTCGACAGCGGGAAGATGATGGGGCGCGGGGCGTTCTGCTTCACCAGCCTCACAATCTCCTCCGTGAAGACGGGCCCCGCGCCGGCGAGGCCCAGAAGCGTCGTTGGCTTCACAAACCGCACAATATCCTCGAGGGTGAGAAGCTTCGCCAGTTCCTCCGCGGAGACGTCGGTGCGGGCGAGCAGCGTCTTGTGCGGCGCAAGCTTGTCGCCGCGCGTCGTCGTCACAAGGCCCTTGGTGTCAACCAGGTAGAAGGTCTTGAGGACGTCCTCCACGGGGATGTTGTACAAGTGTGCGGCGAGCTCAGCGATGCTCTTCGCCACGCCGACGGCAGCCGACCCCGCGCCGAAGACAATGATGCGGTGCTGCAGCGGGGCAATGCCCGACAGCTTGATGGCATTGAGGAAGCCGGCGGCAATCACCGCACCCGTGCCCTGAATGTCGTCGTTGAAGCAGCGGTACTTCTTCTGGTAGCGCTCCAGTATGTCAAAGCAGTGGTCGTTGCTGAAGTCCTCGAACTGGATGACGGCGTTGGGCCACTCCGCACGAGCCGCTTCCATGAACTCATCCATCACGGCGTAGAACTCCTCGTCGCCGAGGCGCTTCTCACGTACGCCAAGGTACTCCTTTTCCTGCAGGTACCTTGCCGTGTTTGTGCCCACGTCCAGCATGACGGGAACGGTGTGCCGGGGGCTAATCCCCGCACCCACAACGTACAAAGAGCACTTACCGATGCTGATACCGATGCCATTCGAGCCAAGATCCCCCAGGCCCAGAATGCGGGAGCCGTCCGTGACTACGACAACGTCCACCCGCTCGTACGCTGCGTCACGCATGATGCCCTGAAACATGCCCTTGTACAGACGGTTGAAGTACAAACCGCGCTCACGGAAGAAGTGGCGGCTGTAGTCCTCGCACGCCTCACCAACCGTCGGGGTGTAAACGATGGGGAGCAGCTCCTCCACGTGGGCAAGGATGGTGGCGTAGTACAGCGTCGTGTTCGTCGAGTGCACGGAGGCAAGGTGCTGGTAGCGGTTGATCGGCTTGTCGTACCTCCTCAGCTGGTTGTACAGGCGGGACACCTGCTCCTCTAGCGTCTCGACGACGGGCGGCAGGCGGCCAAGAATACGGAGCTGTTTGCGCTGCTCCACCGTGAAGGCGGTGCCACGGTTCAGGTGGCGGTCCGCCAGGATGGTGGTGCTGTGCGTCTTCACTCGGAACTGCGACTGCGCCATGACTGGAAAGTGCTTGATGGAGTGTCCTGCTTTGCTTGTGTGTTACTCAAGGAACCCTACCTGGCCGGGCAACTTCTTAAGGCTGTTGTATTTCGAAATGCGTTTATCGTTCTCGTGGCTGATGCACCCAAGTCAGGCACAAAGACAATGAGGGCAAAATTGGGAGAGAAAGAGAGAGAGAAAGAGAAAGAGAAAGAAGGGGATAATGAGGGCCCGGGAGCCGTGTTTCCCCCTCCAGCCAACACACACACACACACACACACACAGTGCAGTTCGTGGTCGACTCAGTGCGGGGTGGGCCGAAGCCGCAGCGAGGACAGGGCCTAGCGACAAGATAGGAACAGAGCAAAATAAACAAAAAAAAAAAATAAGACTGCACCGCAACGTGGAACTCCAGCCAAGGAAACAAATAAGCACAAGTTACTCAACGATGCATGATGCATGCGTAAATGTGCGCGGCAAGGAGCGCGGTGGGTGCGCCTCACCGATGGCGACAAAAACAAAAACACAAACACTGCCAGTACGGCAGCATCAGTGGTAAGTTATTGTCCCGCGGTAAGTTATTGTCCCGNGGCTCAAAAAACAAACAAAAC